TGAATATATAGCACATAATATCGATATCAAATCGACTTGTCAATAATTGGTCGAAATTCGTGTCCATTTTTAAGTCGAATCGACTACAAATTTCAACCGTCGATCGACTAGTATAATCGACGTCGAATCGACGTCGATTCGACAAGGTATTTCTGACTGGGTTCGTAGCAATCATCATTGTTAGGAAATACATCATTATTTAATGAATATCTGCGTGTTACTCGCGACATGATCTGAGAATATGCNGTTTTATTTAGTAATTGTTTCCCTTGTAATGACTGACGAAATTCTATTTCGGTTGCATTAACAATTTTGTACACATGATTAGATGCGTACATTAAACTTCCTTTATTTTTTGTTCATTAATATTGTGTAAGAACTATTATATTGTCTATCACCGACTTCTGTTGTGATGTTGGCAATGCAACCTTTAGATGTTAACTGGAGTATAAGTTTTTTTTACCATAAACTTTGCTATATAATATAAAATGTTTTGTTGAAGGAAATTATGATCATTTATATTGATATTATAATATAATTCTTCATTATCAGCGTCAATAAAGAAATTGTTATTATTATCAGAATCTGTACTATCAATAGTAGAATGCCAATTATTACAAGTTTGTTTCTTTGCCCATGTCAATTTAAATTGTATATCATTTTCTATGTCAAAACCAGCACAATTATAAAAATACTTTTCCATTTGATTTCTGGCACCACAGCAGATGTAGAAGCAAGAGTAGTATTGAATTCAATTGACGGAGTCTCAATTGCAGAAGCAGTTACATCCGCAGAAATAGGAGCACAAAATATTAAAGGCACAGCAAGATTATTCAACCGGACACCACTTGCATTGGGTCTTTTCATAAAATCATTTTCTTGAAAATGTGTACTGCATATTAAGCTGTATTTTGTAGATTAAAAATCGTCTCTTCCAATTGCTGCAATCTACAGTTGTAAAATATCCGGGCGATTTAATGGAAATCTACAATATTTATATTGTTTACTTACATAATCTTAAAATATTGTAACTTCGAAGTATAAATAAATATCTTCTCCTTACCAAAATAAATGATACCCATCTTTTGTGATATTTTTACACTGTGGAATGGAACAACAGCTCGGCATGTTTACACAGTGATGTTTACGATGTTACTTTTTTACTTTAACAAGGCCCGAGTAGCACATTCGCGTACTGATCATACACGCACCGCCGCCATTTTGTTGTAGGTTGTCATGGCCGAAACCGGATATCCTGCCAGCCTCAGTTTTTTCCATATACAGGGTGTCTCATAATGACCGTATCACCGCTCGTAGGCAGGTAGAAGGGATTATTCTGAGTCGAAAAGTCCTGAACCATTTTTTTCTATTACATATAATAAAAAAGTAATTATTGAATAAATTAAGCCAATCAGCGCCGACTTTTAGCCGGGCGCACGTCAGTGAGCCGCGCGAAGCGCTCACGCATATCAGGCGCGTGGTTCACTGACGTGCGTTCGTCTAAAGGTCGGCGCTGATTGGCTTACTTTATTCAATAAGTACTTCTTTATCATATGTAATAGAAAAAAGTGGTTCAGGACTTTTCGACTCAGAATAATCTCTTCTATCTGCCTACGAGCGGTGATACGGTCATTATGAGACACCCTGTATATAATACTTCTATATTGCTAGTCGCGTATCTTCGCAATGAGAGGCACGAGGCCCGAGAAAGGGAGACGCATGAAGTCCAAATATGGGCATAGATGGTCGAGCGTCATTATGCGCAGGCGCATCTACCAAGTGAGTGCGAGCGAGACAAAGCACTAGAAAGTGAGAGAAAGAACGCGAGAAAGAGAAATGCGCAAGCGTGCTTAAATGTTCACCGCATGCGCACAAAGCAGCTGGAGAGAGAGGCTACTATATTGTCTGCACCGTAACATTGAGCTTCAGGTCGGCACCGTACTAGCCAGGGTTGTATTATATATATGGTTTTTCCATATCCCACAGTCTCAATAAAAGTTCCAACGTAACCGTCGTCACGGAAGTATCGTTTCTCGGTCTTCTTCAGTCGACAACATAATTTTTTGATTTTAAGCAAAGCAAAGCATAGCGTATGTTTTGCTGTAGTAGTCTTTGTATATTCTTTATATTTTAGAATGGCGTATGGACTAACTTAACTCGGTCCATTGAGCCAATTTTGCACCAAACCAAACCATCCCACAGTCTCAAGTTAGCGATCTAGTAGTAGTATAGACATCTGTGGCTCGTACTTAACCTTCACTCGATGCCATTCTTTGCAAAGTTCAAACGAACAAAAAGCAGCAAAACCAGAAAAATTTTATTGTTGATACTTATGCAATAACTATATAATTCCATCAACGACAAATAATGGCATCGAATGAAGGTCAGGTAAGGCCTGATTTATGCCGGCAAATAAGGCCTTGTTTTGGCCTTGTTTATGCGGGTAATAACTGTTAATTTATGCCGGAATTGGTACAGTTCAACTATAGGATTTCAATGCTTCTGTTATATTCTGTTATGCTTATGTTAATAAACAGAAATATTAAAATCTTAGGCCCGCATAAACCAGGCCTAAGAGCAGTAAATATACCTAGCGGAAGCAGTCCTAGAAAATTTAAGTCACGTGACGTTTTGCTGCCGCACCGTGCAGCTGTATGAAAAGGTACCTTTTGGCTGCACTAGTTCACAGTCTATCTTTTTCCTTTTGATATAGATAATAAAAGATAGACTGTGAACTAGTGCAGCCAAAATATGGAAAAAGAACAAACCTAATGTTGTGGTGGAAACTAGACCATTGTTGCCAAGTTTGAATCTGTTTGCTGTTGCTCACGTTGGTAGACAGTCACAGAATCTCCTTTCTTCCTTTTCCGGAAGAGACGCTCTCCGAAGTGGACCTATTTAATTTTAACTGCAGAAGTACCTTTTCCCACCTTCCAAAATGAAAATTTACAAGGATGTTGTTACCGGTGAGTTAAAAAAAAGATTACTTTTGCCGTTATATGACCTAAATATATTTGTATTTTCTCACCGTCGAGACGTAATATTAGATGTTATAATAATGATTTGAAATGTTGGAACACTAGCCATATTTTGAGAGATAACGATGAATATTCAAATAACATTCTTTACATTCATTTGTAGAAATAAAGTTTAAATTTTCGATATTGCATTTTGTAGTAGTATAATTAGTATGCTATAATGAAAAGATTAATGTGTTTCGTACTTGAGATTTCTGACATTCTTAACCTCTTTACAAGTATAAAACAATCATGGCTACATTAGAAATATACTTATTATTATTTATATATATATGTACGTATATATGTATGTATGTATGTATGTATATATTATATATATATATATACATATCTTACAAGTTTGCTTGTAATTAAACAATATTGATTTAATTATAAAATATTGAATTGTGAATGATATAGTTATAATATTGTCTATTTTATAATTTGTGTCAAAACTTATGTCTTAAAAGTAAATATGATACAAAAAGATCAATGGAGATAAATACAAATATATTTTAGAACTTTCTATATGTACATTTTGTGGTTAATTATACAATCTTGAACTCTATAGTCTATTTTAATCAAACTAATGTAACATGCTGCGTATGTTTTTAGGAGATGAAATGTTTTCTGACACATATAAAGTCAAGTTAGTAGATGATGTACTTTATGAAGTATATGGAAAGGTACCTTATATTATACTTAAAAAAAAGCTGCTTTCTATGTAGAATGTTAAGTAACTAATATTTTTTTAGTTTGTAACTCGGAAGTCAGGAGATATTGAAATTGCTGGATTTAATCCATCAGTGGAAGAAGCTGATGAGGGCACAGATGAAATTGTAGAATCAGGAGTTGATGTTGTATTAAACCATAGGCTTCAAGAAACTTTTGCCTTTGGAGACAAAAAATCCTATACATTATATCTCAAAGATTATATGAAGAAGTGAGTATATTTATATAATTAATTTTTTTATTTATATTAATGCATTATTCTTTATGACAAAATAAGTTTATAGGTTAAATACAAGTATAAGACTAAAACGTAGATAATTTCTTTAAAAACTTTTATTTTTGGACTTGATTGGCATGTGTTTCCACATATTATAAAGTTACAAACTTACACAAGATTTAATGTCTAAGAGCTATAATGAGCACTAATATGATTCATTGACAAAATATTACATATGTAAAAGAAAATGTTTTGATTAGATTTTACAATGATTCTTTGTAGGAAATGTGTAATGAAAAAAAATTAGGTAAAACTACGTTCTTTTAAATATAAAAAAGTATATTTTATAAATTTTGTTTTACAGGTTGGTAGCTAGGCTTGAGGAAAAATCACCTGATCAAGTAGAAGTATTCAAAACAAAAATGAATAAAGTAATGAAGGACATCCTTGGTAGATTTAAAGAACTACAGTTTTTTACTGGATCTTCCATGGACATTGATGGAATTGTTGGTCTTATGGAATATCGTGAAATTGATGGCGAATCAGTTCCAGTTTTGATGTTTTTCAAACATGGTCTTGAAGAAGAAAAGTTTTAAACATTTCTTAGATATGCAACAAATTATGGACAAATTTTGTAAGTAATGTTTCTTTTTTTTCTATTATATTCAATACTGGTTTATTATTTGTTTATATTACATTTCTGGTCGAAGTAATTTGTTAAAATTTTACTATGAAATAACTGAAACTATACTTTTTATATTGAAATATACTAACATGCTGTGAATTCTAAAGGTAATTACTAAAAACGTTTGTGAAAAAGTAGACTATGTATAAATGATTGTTTTAGTTAGCTTTAGTATTAAGTAACAAAATAATTAAACATTTAATTAAAGTTTTAGAAAAGTAGATTAAAAACTACTGAAACTTTTGCAAAACCAATGTGTTATTTTGAGTTATTGATAGAATACATCATATAAGATATTACAACTTCAATAAAATATTTCTATCAGGAATGTTATATAAATTAACATAAAAGTGACTTGAAATTATACTTTTATATACATGTGATTTCGTAGCTAACACATCTATTTGGTGTTTGTTACTGCACACACATGTAACATTAAGCTGGGATATTTTTGACGCTTTAAATTATTTTTTTCTGAACAAAGCGGTTTTTGACTATCCTAACATTTTTATTTATAAAGTTAGTTTTGCTTTTTTTATGCAATAAAACCCATTTTTTATATATCTTTCAGATAAACTGGAAACAAGACTGCAATACACGCTGCAAAGTTGTGAAATTTAGGTAAAATGTAAAGCAAACAGTTTTTCTTCCGGTTTACAAAAGAGTTGATTAACAACATTAAATAAAGTCTCTCTGTTGATGACAATTGCTGGTTAAATAACTGTACATATAACATAAAAAAACCAATTTTCCATAGTCATATCTTCATTACATGCAAATGATTTGTTGTGAATATTATTATCTTTTGTATTTGACTTCTATTAGGAAATTTATTTATATCAAAAATGGAAGATGGGGAAAGAATTACTGCAATATAGATTTATATCAATAAAAATATAACATAACTATTATGTTAATGTTAGTAAAATGTCAACAACTGAAAACTTCGACAAAATGTCCATCAAATAAAAAACTTTTTCCATCAGTTTTATTGTTTTTTCTAAAATTATTTAATTTTTTTTGTTTCCCTCCCTCTCCTTCATTTATTTTTTACTGCTCTTTGTAATTATAAATGTAAAATATGTAATTTATGTGAAATTATATATTTTCATCTGTTTATACGCTAGTATCTAAATAATTTTATATTCGTATCTTTTATACACAAAATTTAAATTTTGAAAAATTACGTTTATATGTTTGATACTTCGTTTGAACTGAAAGATTTGTGTGAGAAACAAATAATGTTTTCATGTATATTTCATGAATCCAATTCTAAATTATTTTTGGAAAACAAAAGAATAGTCGTGTATATATTCTTCACATATTGCACGTAGCGCATATATACATATGTGTAAGCAATTATTGTATATTTTGTCATAAATTTAAGGATACATAAAAAAATAGGAAAATTGTGAGCGTAAATATCTACAGAATTTATATTTTTTATTCTATAGTACTAATAAAGCAATAAATATGTTATGCAAAAAAAATCAATCATGTTTTGGACTTATTATTTTTCATTGACTCTCTAATGTATGAAGGAGATTTATAGAGGTAATTATATAAGGGATTAGTAAATGGTACATACGACATATCTTTTTCAGTTCATAAAAATATTATATTTAGATGAGTCAGAATAGACGATCTATCTCTTGGCGCGAAACCGTACATTATATTTCTTTATTCAGGGATTGTTACTAGCCATAATGTTGTACAAGTACACTCATAGCATCATTCCCTTGTTTTTGCACATTTTTGCCATCAATTTCTCACCCTCTTTTACTCTCAACCTTTCATTCTCTCACTTTCTCGCTTGCTTCTTTTCTACATCTGGATTTTTTTCGTTTCTACACATAGTACTTTTTATACCCTCATTAACGCTCTCTTTCTGTGAATATATATTACTCTTACTCTCTCTCTAAAACATTTGCTGTTCTCTCACCTGAGAACTCGACGTCTCCGTACGTTATACTTTGCACATGTGTTCCGTATCGTTATCTTGAAAAAAGATATTTACGTGTGTACATTTACAAAAGCGTATCTTAGTAGAGTTTAATGTGTAGTAGTAAATAGTATAAGTATGTAGACAGAATTTTTTTATAATCTACTAATGGAGATGCGCGAATTAAAATGTTCCATTTAACATGTTATATATGAAAAATCATAAGTTACAGTTCTTAAAAAGATAAACTTTCCGAGAGATATACACAAGTGTGTGTGTGTGTGTATATATATATATACATATATATGTATATGTATATACACAACACATGCCCGTGTGTATGTAGGTATGTATACTTATATCGCTTTGCTATCTATGCGGAATACACAACCATATACAGTGTCGTTGATTATTAAAGCCAGTGAAATAAATAAATATCAATTTTTGACGGAATATATCGTACAACACGTCTTGTTCCGAACTGAAACAAGTGACATCAAAAATATCGTGTGGTGTTTTAGAAATATTCTATAGTGAAATGGAGCAATTACAGCTTTATCGTAAAGAAACGAAGCGATATATTTATAGGCATTCGTAGATGTGTTTGTCGATTAATGATTATCCGTAAAATATGGAATGTTACATACAATATTTATCGATATACAATTAGCTTGCGAGTATCCAATCAGTTTTATAGTCAAAACTTTCTACACAGTGTTATATTTTGAATACTTATTATTCACAATCTAATTCAAAATTATATAACCGAACATTTTCGTATTATGTGTATAAACGCATGTTCTTCTGTGCGAATCAGAAGGAATAAAAAAATCGACCAACTTCGAAATATATCGCATTTGCGGTAATATTCGAAATAATATATTTGATCATAATGGCAGTCATACGAGAGTTAAACTTATTAATGTTCTTAATTAGAGATTACCCATACGTAAACTTGTACGACATTTATACATAGATGTAATATACTGGCTTATAGCTTAGCGCTTTAAAAGTACGGTATTCGATAGGACATTTGTTATTATTTGTTAAGTTGAGGGAGAGGGGAAATATATCTTACACGCTCGATAAGATTAGACAGTACATTATTAATGTTATCGGTATTGTTATTATTTATTTATTATTATTATTATTATTATTATTACTATTATCATCAATATTTTTTCATTACTCTAATATCATTATTATTATTAAACTTATTTGTACTGATCTATGTAGAATCGGTGCGTAAAAGGGTTTCTTCAATGTTGTACAATCATGCTACAAAAAATGTATTGTTCCAAATATATATCTCATATATAGTATATATATATAACAATAAAATATATTTTTTTTAATGCTGAGAGTTTACAAATACAAATTAAAAGCATTATGCTAATTAGACATTATTGAATTTCTCTCGAAAGGGAACAAAAACAACAATAAAAAGGCATGCAATGGGAAAAATATATGTATATCCACGGTATATCCATAAGTACAAGACAAAAAAAGCAACAGAAATACATACACTAGATATATAAAAAAAGTAAGAACATATTCATTGAGAGTATTGTACAGAAAAATTTACAGCGCACCCGATTCTTCCATTCTCTAGGACACTGTTACTAGATAAAACTGTTACTACACACAATTTGAGCATCGTACCATTTCAATGATACTTCAAAGAAGTATGGCAAAAGCATTTAAGTTCTTATTAAAAGTATATTCGGTACACACACGATTCAGCATTTCCGAATGATGCTTCGCGCAAGAAGCTCAATGTGTTTATTTATACTTTAGTAGACATCACGGCAATCTAAAGACCACTCTTGTGAATCCTCTTACCTTATATTATGGATCTGATCGCAGGACATAGATCATAAATCATTAACATGTCACTACCTTTGTTAAACGCTTTTCCTGATCACTACTGAGGTTGTTTGTATTTGTGAAAGAATTCGGTTTATATATATATCCATATATTATTTTTATGTATATATATATATAGATATTTCTGTTTTTTTTTTTTTTTTTTTAACATTTATATATTTATATGAAACTTCTCTTCATTCACAGGTAGCATTCGCGCCCACAAATCCTAATGGTCACTTACTGCGTCGTTTATATTTTGTCAGGAATTTGAAGAGGTGATCGCTTTCATCGCGCGATTGTTCAGAGGTAATTTTGGTCAGGTGCTTCGTATATAAAATAACGTGAAGCAAGAATTATATAGTCAAATAATAAATTGATATATAAAATTTGCGTCTTAATCTGCTGTTCCTACTTAATATATAAGTCAAACTAATTATAATATGTACTTGTTTTATATATATAAATTATATGTACATGAATAGAGAAGAAAATAAGTCAATATTCTCGATATTATGCTTCTGCATCCGTGTTAATACTTTATGAATACCTTATCTTCTCTGAATGCTCAACAAATGCTAAAACAGGCTTTCTAAAATGAATAGCAACTCCAATATATTATAAAAAAAATTATGAATTTAATATTGTGTTTGTCGTCCACGGTACGCATAACATTAAAAACTCTCATCAAGTAGATAACAATAACCAACAACTAACAATCGTAGGCATTCACGCAAAAATAGAAATATGTTTAATAATATACAATAATATTATCATAATTTATATTACTGAAGTAAGTATGATCATTCCCTTTTCCAAATTAGTATCAGTGATTGGAGCTGAAAGAATCCGAAAAGTGTGTGCGTGTATATATATATATATATATATATATACATATACATATATATACATATATATATATATATATATATTACACTATTTATAAAATAACAAAACACTGTCCCATATTTTTATTTAAAATTAAAAAAATAACTTTTTATCTGATTCTTATAACATTTTACAATATAAACACTTTACGCAATATTTAATTGTAATCGTCATAAATTTTTGTTTTAAAAAAATATGGATACATATAAAATTTATGTTATTAACATTTACGTATTTTATAACTGAATAAATCATTATTACACAATGTTACACACTTAGATAAATCTTTTCTTTCAAACGAAGAACTAAGTTGATATAACATAATCACAAGTGACATAAAGCTCTTACAATTTCATTAGTAACTCAATTTTTACATAGTTTAACACATACATAGAATAATATATAACAATTCCGAGAAATATATATATGTTATGTTTACATATCTAATAACATATCTTTATGTAAATTTAGAAAATAAACCGTTCAACGATTTCCTCAGGATTACATAAAAGATTCTACAAAGCTAAGCTTCACAGAATCTAAATCCCTCGGTTCCATCAGCTCACATCATGTGATACATAATTCTGTAAATTACTAACAACGAGAGTAAGATTTTATCTTAGTTCACGGTCTTGTTCACAATTAGTTAAATTCTTATAGTGTGTACATGCTATAGTTGTAATATAATTATAAATTTCACAAACATTTCTTCGTAGATCGAGAGCTTTTATATCTTTAGTTTTATTTTCGGTGTATTGAACATTCTCACTTGGGAAAACAAATCTCACTGCCAATAACTATAAAACAAAAAGAAACATCTCTACTCTATTTGCTGCCATGTCGAATTTGTACCAGACATAGAAGACAGCATTCCAGCACTGCAAAGTGTACGTGTAATTAAACTTTGACACGTCGTTAAATCCGCGTACAAATTAACAAACCAAAAAAAAAAAAAAAAAAAAAANAAAAAAAAAAAAAAAAAAAAAACCGATATATATATCCGGATATATATCCAAGCGTAAGTGTTATTAAAACAAATAAACAGAAAACCCTAACACCTTGAATATAAAATATTTTTGTTTTTGTACGCTCTCCGACATTAGATTATTGCAGTACTAATGTTTCATTTTATGGACACATGCTGCATAAAAAAGGGCTCTACTTTGCATATTTAGTGTATAATTATTAATGAATTAGTAAGTTCATTTTTTTAATCCTAAATTCTAAAATACAAAATAATAAATTATCGTTAAATTTGCGTAATGAATTTTACGCATTGATGCAAGTGTATACATATCTATATGCAAATAGCGGCTTTGTAAAGTAACGATTCGAATCGAGGCAGAGTTGGAATGTAAAGATGTCCGAGAATTCGCGCGAGCACACATACATACATATATAAACCGCGTCTTCGTCGTGCCTGTGAAAAACGATGATTGATCTGTAAAACGATCCATATGATATATTATTGAAAGAGAAGAAGAGACGAAGAGAGAAAGAAATCAAAGAATAACAAAGTGCAAAAATAGAAAAAAAAAACTTAATCATTCTAGGAACTTCAGTGACTGTGTGAAAAGCGCGATCCGACGAAGACGCGATGTTTGTCCGAAACAATAATCGATTGTCAGCACGAAAGATTGTGTGAAACACAATCTTCAGTCGAATGATGGCACATGTCACAGGTTAAAGAGGCAGCGATTGTTGTTAACAATATTTTTATACACAACTTTAGAGTTGTAGTATATACTCTATAGTAAAGTTGTGTACTATAGAGTTGTAGTTTTCTGTAAAAACAGACACTGAAGCTATCAAGCAATCGTATTTATGTCTACTCCATGAATATGTTGCGTCGTGCACGTTTCGGTTGTATGTGAATCCACTGATAAAGACCGCCTTTTTACACTGGACATGAAAGTCGGTAAAACAAAAATAGAAAGGAGGGAATGGGAGATAGAGAAGGAAAAAAATGAAGTATATATATATATATATTCATATATATATATATATATGAAGAAAAGTAAGTAAATTCCATCTCGCTCGACGCGCAGATAATCTATACTGTGACGTATAGAAGAAGTGACACAGTATAGAAATCGTTGCATCTCGAATGCGAAACTCGACTCGAATGCGGGCTCTTGTTTTCTTTTATCTCATCTTCTTCTTCTTTATCTTCTTTTTTACAAGTCGGTGTGCCCCAGAAGGCGGCACACCTTCTGCTCCTAAGGATCCGAGGGTGATTCCAGCATTTCCATAAGAAATTCGTCGATTTGCTCGTTGGTAGATAACTTGAAGAAGAATAGATACTCCAGGCACTTAAGACCGATCGAACGTATAGACGGCAGACGAAGCAGCAACTTGGCAAACCTGCCCGGGTCTTGTGAAGTCATGCGGGTGTAGTCCTCCAAAGCGGCGTAAATTTTTTCACGCAGCGAGTTGACATATTTTGGTTCTTTGAGGCCTCGCACATCGGGGTTGAAAAGAATAATAGACCTGCGTACATAAGATATCAATATAAGATCAAGTACAACAATATTTTTTTGAAAAGAAGAAAAGAAAAAAAGTGTAAGAAAATTTTCATTTTCTCTAAAATGAAAAATAATTACTGAAAATAGTCACATGCATGCAATTGTAAATTTCACTCTCTCTCTCTCTCTCTTTCTCTTAAAATTTACGATTAAATTAAATTTGATATTTTTATTGTAATAAATTTATAATCAATAAATTAGAAAATTATTTTTTCGTGATTACTGTATGCACATGTGTATTAGTTTCAAATGATGAATATCTTAAAATGATGAAAGAGTAATGATATACATACAAAAACTTTTCTCACAAATGTTTAAAGAAACATTTTTGCCATTTACCTGAGACATCCTAGTTCGGTCTTGTCCATCTTCATTTCACGCATTTTCGATACCAATTCCGTAATCACGCGATCGAATATTGTGTGTAGATCGCCTGATTCTTTTGCAGTTTGCGAATCTTTCTGCACTGTGGTGCCCGACGCTAAGACGATACAGTCCTTCACATCGATTGAACGGTGGGAGAATGCAGCTATCAACAGCTCGTTCCAGCCTGCCCTCAGTAGAAGCACCTGATCTTCTAATGGTAATGATGTGAAGTGCGGGATGTGCTTGGCCCATGCCACAAGCTGGAACAGCTGGTTGTTCGTGGCGTTGCAAATATGGGATACAGCGTTCTGCGCATTGCAGAAACGCTGCGTTAGTTCGCGTGGAGAAATTTATTTACTCTTCATTTAATGCTTCGAAAAAATTGTACCACTAGATACACAATCATTATACATCAAAATGCCAACTTGTTGAAAGTAAATGACATACAGTCGAACGTCACTATTCTTCGCAACTCCTCTCGTTCCGACTTCCCATTACCGAATGTTTATCACGCAGTATTTATTACTTTACGCAAGCATATTGCAAAAAAATAAGAAGGGATATAGTTAGAAATGGTTAATGCAATTTTCAAGAATAGCGGCGTCCGAATATATTCCCATAAAATCTCATATAACAAAATTGTTAATGATTTTTTAGATAATTCTTTATCAACTTTTTGTATTCGAAACATGAATTTGCTATTACGCGCATCTTGTGAAAGAAATGATGATTTGTATTGTAAGATTTGTTTTAAAAGGCATAGCCTATTTTAAACTTTCCTTAGTCTTTCTAAGCCATGTCCGATTGCGATTCTTTTTATTATATATGCTTCTCTCTCTAAAAGGCTTGTATTTATAGTCGTTACTTGAATCTTATTTCAAGACCGAATCAATTGAGGTTTTCACAGAGATTTGATATATAAAAAATCAATTACTGAATAGTATGCAATTCAAGTTTTGCCTCGAGACAAACTTCGTACACTGAACTGTTTAGCGACTAAAAGCGTCAAACTAAATCTTGAAATTCAATTTTTGAGCCTATATTACTTAAAAAACTAGTTTCAAATAAAAACCTCAACTGAAACACGATTGTAAATACAGGCCTAAATAATGTGATTATTTCATTTGCTTTATTGCTATTTAATTATCTCCACTTTATTTTTCGTACACGCACACGAACAAGATATGTCCGCACTATGCATGTGAATATATACATATATATGTATATACACATGATATCGTCATATCGCGCGAGAATATTCACCTCATAAGCGTCTTGATTCTCCACCTTACATTCGACTCGTTTCTCTGCCTCGAGGATGCGTTCGATTGGCATATCTATATTGCTTGTGCTCTCTACTTCGTTCTGATCCCGTTCTTTGGTGCGTTGACGTTCTTCTTGCACCGCTTCCCTCTTCATTCCCATTGCCAAACATTTCTGGTACCGGCAGTACTGACAACGATTTCTCTGCCGCTTGTCGATGATGCACGACTTCTCCTCGCGACAGGCGTACGAAAGATCTTTACGCACTGTCCTCTTAAAGAATCCTTTGCATCCTTCGCAGCTAAAAAAACGAAGTTTGTTCAGACATGTAACAATATTGTTGCCGCAATAACATATCACAGTTGTATCTGATTATTCTCCATCTTAAAACAGAATTTAACTTTGATATCTACAACTGACTGCGATAAAACTTTCAACACAAATTTAAAAAAAGAGAGAGTTCGCAGATTTAACAAAATGAGGAATATATTAGTCTGAAAATTATTGCATCATTTTTTTTTAATGTATCGTTTAATGATTATTGCTTTAATCTTTACGCGTTGTCACTCAATCGCGATTGTTGTCGCGATCATTAATGATTTCATGAGTCACAGACCATTTCAGGGTCGTTGTTTTTAAAGTTTTGGAACGCATCCAAAAATCTCCCGTTGAAACCAAAAAAGCAACGGCGAATTCCGCAGAGAATTTATTTTCGCTGCAAGTACGCATCATATATTTTTGCGACAGTATTCGCGGGAAACTCTTCTTCTTCGCGGTGACAGAACAACATAATTCTAAAAACTCAATATCCTCTAACCAATAGAACAAACAATGGCATTAAATTCCGCTGTCATACGTTGAACATAAGAGTGAAAGTCGTCTAACATTTATTTTTAAAAATAAATTTTGATTGTCTTTAATGATTCAAATTAGAGATCAAATGTTTTTTTGTATGTGTTATATCTTCTTTTTCTTTAACTTTATTGCTTTTTGCGCTTTTGAAAAGAATAATAAAATATAATAGTTTACAAATTGATCAAAATAGAAAAGGGCCAATACGAGGCAAAACACAGGATGTTGGTGTGAATCAGCAAAATTTATTCAAGTGCCAAACGTTTCGATCACAAGTTTTGATCTTCATCAGTGGCAACTATTTACAATTAAATAAATAAAAAATAAGAAAAAAGATAGAAAAAAGGTAATCGATCTTATAATAAACAATAAAAACTCACCAAAATGAAAATTAAAAATTAAAAATTAAAAATTAGGTAGCACATCAACACATTTTGTACCGTGAGTAACGAACAAATAGTTTACAAATTAATATATTTGTTTTGAAAATGTATGTTTGTGTTTACTGCAACACAATTTTTGACGAACCTCTTGCAAAAACTAATTCGCAATTGTGTGTAAAAACCGCTAACTTTCTCAAAAAATGCAATACATTATTTGCACTGAAAGAACTGTGATAGAACCGCGCATTCACGAAATGTGGTATTCGTAAAAACTTAAGGGTAAATCAAGCGGTGCCGTATCGTACATTGTTTGACGCAGAATTCTCCTCGTTTCTCGTCTATACAAGCGAGCAGCGTCCTGACACGAAGACAAACGGTACGACGTGTTAATCTCGTGGATTTTGCGAAACATCAAAATATCCCGTGTTTCCTCCAAGAAGACAGCGCCTCTTATCGAAGTTTATGAGACGACCGTATTATTGTGCAACCGCGAGATGCGCGTCTGGCATGCTAAATTACGCCGTCGATCGCGCGCTATGTTAATGAAGTGTTTAATGCGAGAAATAATTTTATAGCAGAAATTGGATTGTTAAAACTATCGGAATTAAAAAGCGTTAACGTTCTTTTACATTTTAAAATATGTTAAAAAAAACAAAGAAAATATCTATAGAGGAAGAGTGACATGAAAGAGCCAGTTTTAATAGAACCAAAAAACTACCTTAAAAAAAAAACAATCAAACCTAACGCTTATTGATCCAATTTACTTCTTTCTTTATGTAATAAACAAAAGAACAAAAAATAACAAAATTAGACAATATTCTTACTTCACTTATCAGAAAAGGAAAATTCGGCTCTTTCATAACATGATGAGCATTGAAAAAGCCATCTAAATTATTTTTGCCACAATTGTTTTTACAGATATCTAAAAGATTTTTTTTTGAGGAAGAAAAAGGTTTTCTTCCTCAACTGTAATTTTAAAAGTTCTGATTGATAAAGTAAAAGTTACTTATATTTAAGTAAAAAATATATGAAGAATTTACGTTGATGTTGTTTCTGTTAATTTTGAAGCTAATGAAATTAGTTTTACATTTGTGTTAACAATTGGTTATTAACGTTTATTAACAATTTTTTTATTAATTTTATTTATTAACATCAAAGTTCTTATAAGGAGTCGACTCTTTCATAATTTTTCTTCTTAGAAATTATAATCTCAAAATACACTGCAAAATAAACGCTTTGACTGAGAAATATATTTACATAGTTAGAAGACTAAACACGTACATAAAATCATAATACAATAATTTTTGTGTTATTTCTCTTCACATGAATGTTAAAAACAAAGAAATCAAACCTAAAACTTTGCTTTTCAGTGACTTTCATCAATCTTTAATACGGTGCACCATTTATTTTTAATAATCTGTCAAATGCTTGTGAGTGACACACCTTTAGTGTTGCTATATAAAAATTAAAACTTTCATGAGATTTGTTCAGAAACTGAATAAATGAAAATGGCTCTTTCTTTTCTCTTATCTGCAATATATATTCATCAGAATATCAACACATTTTTTTATGCTCTTTTATATCACTTAATCCTTTCTTCAATTACATGAGCGTGATCTCATTGAATTGTTAATTTTCAACTCGATTATTATCAACAAAGGTTCAGTTACAACATCGTGTTCTTAATCACTATGTAAATGCTGTGAGAAGTGGAAATTCTTTGTATCGAATGCAAGATAAAAATGACTCTCTTGTGATAATCTCGCTTTTTTAAGCAATAAAATAGTACGAAATGCTAATGCTATTATAACAATATAACAAGACGCCACGTTTCAATAACCAAGCGACATCAAGAGTTGCATCTCCAGACGTGGGCGACGGTGGCGCACGTGATGCAATTTCTGGACCACCGTAGCAGCCGTTTGATCTCGCAAAGTTTATGCGAAAAACAAATATTCATGACACAAGACACATGTAGTCGCTTGGTCGCGCACGAGCTCTTTTTCTCTCATTCTCCCCTCTTCTTCATTTTTCTCTCTCTCTCTCTATCTATTTATCTATCATAGTATAAAAAGACCTTCATACGCCATATGCACAAATAGCGTCGGCGTTGAAGCCACACGTGCTTACGTGCGTGTGCCTTGCAGTTCAGTTTTTGCGTCCAAACGCGGCAAATTTTGTTGGAAACAAATAGAAGTATATCATGAAAGCGAATTTTATTTGATATAGAAAATAAAACAGTGTGGCGATTTCAACGATTTTTTCTTTAGTGCAAATATCTGCGATCAGAAACTTAAGAGAGTTTTCTCATACACACACGCGCGCGCGCACGCACGCACGCACGCACGCACACAACAATCAAAATTTTAAGCATTTTTTTAATGAAGAATATAAAACGTAATCTTTTTTATCTTTGCATGTTATTATTTGAATGTTCTAGTTTAAAAATAAATTGTTTTTGTTACAATTTATTAATATTTTGATTATGCTTTCTGCAGTCAAAGATGACGCCTTGAAAAAAGGCGGTAAAGATGAATTCAGCTCACACAGTCATCTTAAACAAAAAATTCAAACAGATTCTAAATCTGTATGCTTGTCACTATTGCAAGTAGCAGAATTGCTTATTTTTGACGAAAATTTCCTAGTTTTTCAACCACTAATAAGTAAAAAAGATAATTATTAAAAGTATAGGAGATTAAGATCCTTGACATATGTTGTAAAGGGCACTCTCCTGAGTAGTGTCTAAAAGGTTTAAAGTGACGCTCAATGTTCATTAAAAAGTTATTCATAAAAAAAATAATCACAATACTGACCGTTGACAATCATCAAGAGTTGTAATTGTTTCTAAGTAATGAGAGAGCATAAGAGGCTAATGCTATTATAATATTACAAAACACCACGTTTCAATAACCAAGCGATATCAAGAGTTTGCCCCCTCTTGTCTACACACTTACAATAAAAATTACGATTTTTAAACATAAAAGTGGCTCTAATTTGGAAACGACTTATTTCCGGACCTGTGTTTTTTTGTATAGCTTTTTTGTCTTCTTTTTGAATCTCCAATCATTTCCCGAAGTATTGCGAATGATTTTCCGAACACTCTATGTATGTATGTGTGTATGTATGTATGTATGTATGTATGTATATACATACATATATACATGTGTATATATATGTAATGATTAAATGTATAACGTTTTTGTAAACTTAATTTTTAAGAAATAATTTCAATTGTTTACAAAATTCTATCTCATAAAGATTCAGCGTTTTGGATAAATAAATCTCTGAAAGAAGAAGAAATGCAAGGTAAATAATCGAGCAATTATTCAAGTGGTTGTATGCACTGACATTTACATTGACATTCTCTCTAGTAAGATTATTTAATATCGAAATTAATTCAGGATAAAGGAAAAGATATCTACTTCGACGGAGCGGATTACCATGAAATTGAAATAAAATGATTGCGAGGAGAGCATTTTTCAGGGTGTGTGTACGCGATGTGTTCTCATATTATACCGCGAGTACTAACACGCATACAGGCGAACGCGGAGTCGCGGCGCATTTAATCCGTGAGAAATGGACACGGCGTGTCGTAGCACACGCGAAAGGAACGCAAAAATAAGATCGAGCGTGCGTTGCACACGCGGTTCTCTAAGTGGCTACGTATTTGTCCCGCAGGCTTCCCCGGCGCATTGTGCGGCGTTATTACTGCAATTTGCAGGCAAGGGCATCGCATGACAGTTACGCATTACAAGGAGCGTATTAACATGTCCGAATGTTAGAGGCGCGACCAGTTTTTATCGAGTGGCAATCCCCGGTTAATTAAGGGAAGCGCGAGCGCGAGATGGCTACAAATTGCTCCGTGTATTTTTAATGAGATTAATTAAGTTCCCGCGAAGGTACCTGCTCGTCATCAGTTATGGGTCGATTGTTTTTTGTCTCAAACTCACTATCGGATCTGCACTGCGGAATCAAACGCGCTTCTTCTTCGCATCATTTTACCCACGCAATACCCGCACAATTACGAGAAAAGCTAAGACCTTTGATAACGTATACATGCGCGAGTACGTGCACGCTCGAGAGAATACTATAGAGACGTACTAACGTACACGATTGTAACATCTTTTTCAAAGTTTTATGTTCTTAGAAAAACAATATGTGAATGCGCAATAAAATTATAGTAATAATTATAGTAATAATAATTATAGTAATAATTATAAATCTAATATACAGAAGTGGAACTTTTTACCACATTTTTTTAAATCATATTTTTAAGAAGATTTGTTTGTTTCTATATGCTAAGTAACTTTACTTATAATTCCTTAATATTAATAAAAAGCAAGCATCTCTTTAATTATATTTCAATAAGAAACAGAAATGAATATAGTAATATTTTTTGCGAATCGAAGACATTCTATCATCGGACAGCGAGGAATGAACAACAGTGGGTTAAAGGGTTAATTAGTCGCCACTGGAGCAAAGTGCCTATATACAACGAGGAGGGGAACTCTCTCGCTGGTAGGAACTACGGGTGGGTAGTCATCCTAACCTCGTGAGCGGCGGCAAGTCCAAGGTTGATGAGGCTCGCTGATGCAACGCGAACATTGGCGAGGACGGTCTGCAACAGCAGCAGAACTCGGTGCAGCGCGTTATCACGTCGTGTGGAGAAGTGGAGGAAAAGAAGGACCAAGGAGGGAGACCAGTGTGCATTGGGATTCCCTGCCATGCCCGTGCACCGTAGACCAGCAATCGACCTTCACGTAGAGCCGTTCTGCTATAGCGAAAATGACTCGAGGTCACTCTTCGCAATATTTCGAGGAAACGAAATTCGCGGATATAGGATGTTTTATGCGAGACGCGCAACCTCGGGATTGACTGTGAAAGTGATACAGTCGCCGCAATTATTGGGATTATTGTGACGGGAAATAAACGTTACGTCGCTATAATAAACGAGAATATTATGTGTATGTGTATAAGAACCCGATTTGTGCATTAATATTGTGCATTATGTAGTAACAAATCATTTAATATTGCGTTTTATCGTCACAAGAATGGAAATGAAAAAGTTTTTTTAATTTTTTGTAAAATAAAGAACATACTTAAATTTTTTATATCATAATATCAATATACTTTCTCATTTAATTTTAAACTTAAATTGGAATTAAAATGTGCAAAACTTATAATAAATTATAATTTCAAATAAAAACAAATAAATTATTCATGTAAAGATTAATAAGAAGAGATTACAAAGAGATTACTTATATAATACCCGAAGAGATCTTCAAAATAAATCAGAACGCTTCGAAGGAGTATGTATTGGCGGCGTCTCTTTTACGTGAATCTTGCGTAGGTGCGAAGGAAATCAACCACTTTTACTAGACAATTACGTTAGGGACCAAAGTACAGAATAAATAATTTGAAATATAGACGTTTTGATAGAGTCCGCGACAAGATTCTCCTCTCTCTCTCTCTCTCTCTTTCCCTGCTGTTACTTTCATCGTTCCGGAGAACTAACTTTCGGGCTGAATTAGAAAGTCGATACAAGTTTTAATTGGATAAGTTACTTTGAGAATCTAACTTTCGTATTTGAGCGACTGTGTGTATTTTGTAAAATCACCGGGGAAAATATTAACAAGACTTTATTGTTGTAATAACGTTCGGTGGCACATGCACTGTGCAACGATGTTGCAATGCACGAATTTACATCGATGAGCAAGCACGACAAACCCATATGTCATTCTTATTTAGCGTCTACGATCACCTAATACGAAGTCAATAATTATGACAAGGTTTCGATTATTTTTTGTTTCTTTTCACGAAGAATTACGGACACATTTGGATTGTAAGAACTTGGAATCCAAATGTGATCTTGAAATCTCTGTACGCACAAATTATTTTTCTTTTCAAACATATTAGAAAAAAACATTGTATGAAAGGAACAACGGGTCATAATTCTGGTCATCAAAAATATAAACGCGTCGAATATCTTCATCTATTTTATCCCATTATGCTCATACGTACATGTTTTTTCACAATATAATTGCCAGAAACATAATAATAACCGAATGTCGTCCGCTGACAGATGAAATACCGATTATTATGCAGTGTCGATGCACGTGTGTTCGACGATGTGTTCTCGCGTGTTCGCATAAAAGTCATCGCAGATGTTTCTTTTCAAAGTTCTTTTCATTTTTGTCGACGCGCACGCAACGGCGCGGCGGTTCGCCACGAATAAACCTGTTGCAGCTGCGAACACGAAAGACGATACGATACGCAGATCCATGTTCTTGCAATGACCGATGTGCGGTAAAAACTCTTTCACCTACTATCGTGTTTCTATATCGCTTCGCGATGGCGGCATCACAACGCGACGCACGCATTATGCAGTTTATAGAAAATTTTTATTACTCTACTTAACGATGGCGGTTCGATGACACAGCGTTTATGAAAACGTAACGCTACTGTTATTTGCAACTGTTTAATGTCTTATGCGTGCATGCAAAAAATGAATGCAATAAATGATTTGTTGATATGTAACTACGTGGACGCATAGATCCAAAGTTCAGTGTCGCAACGTTCGGATTTGAAATAAAAGCAAAAAAAAAAAAAAAAAAAAAAAAGTCGCGAGAAGTGAGATCTAAGAAATTTCTTAGTAGCGCTACACAACAAATATAAAATGCCCAATTTCCGAGATAATTATAAATGTATATTTGAATTAGTAAACTGAATTAAAATTAGGAAAAACATCAATTAAAAGTATTACGATAAATTGCGACAAACGCAAAACTTTTGAGCACTTTCAATATTTAATAAAGTAGAATCATAGACTAGCACTCCCAATCACAAGTTTGCAGAAGATACACGAAAACACTTTGACGCGTTACATTTCCCCCTATTTCTCCCTGAAGAAAGTTAGTGCCCACGAAGTCCCTAGAGTAAAGACACGAGAGACAGCCTCGAGACTGACTTATCGAGCGCTAAATAATTGAAGAAAGGTCGACGGTTGCCTCGTCGACGAGGTGCTCACAGACTGTTTCGCCAGGCAAAAGCGTCAATAAAAATGTTCCCTTAGCTCGTTTATCCACTCAATTTAATTATTCGGAATCTCAGTTAAATCGGTGTATTTATTTTGCAGTAACAAGAGTGCAGGTCGCGAAGGTTAATGATAATTGGTACAAACAAAGCATTTATCTGCTTTTTTTTTATTTTATCGTAACATATACCGCTATATAGGTAACGCGACTGAACCGCATAATAAACAACGTGTTTATCGTTATCGCATACATTCCGTGGAACATCACGGATTATTCATTTTCTTCCGTTAACGAGGGTCAGGATTATCAAGCGAATTCGAACCGTCTTTTCCTCTTCCCTTCCCCCCTCTCTCTCTCTCTCTCAAGAACGATGAAAAGACAAATCATCTGGCGCAAACACAACGAATTCATATTCATATCGTTGGAACTTTTTGTTCTCGCGAGCTCGCTTTCTTCGACGCAAAATGCAACAGAAGAGAAGTAATTATTTTTGCAGTTTTGTTCGGAAACCGATGCAAAGTGATGCACGAGAGAGGATATTCAAACGAGTTTGCTCGCTTCTATTGAAGTTGCCGCTTGAAATTCAATATTACCGTCGCGATCGAAACGCCGATTACTACTCGTGCGCGCGTACACATTTCTCGAATAAAATCACTGCGCGTCAAGGATCAACATTTGCATGACAAATACGAAGGAGCAAATGGTTTTCTTTTTTTTTTTTTTTTTTTATGTCCTTAGACTTCTATCGAATACGTACTTCCATCCTACGGATGTTTACTCTCGCGACTTCAAACATTTTCTGTGGTTATATGCGTGTGTGTATAAAGTTTCATTCAATCCTTTAATCCTTTGCAGAAGTCCTCTGCTACTTGAAAATAAAAAGATATAAAGAAATAATAAATATAAATCTAATATATAAAGAGGTAATATAGGATTGTTTAACAAAATACAACTCGCTCCAACCAATAAATTACGTATGTTATGCGATTTGGATATATATATGAACTTACCTATAAACGCCATAGTGTTTCCCGCTCGCACGGTCGCCACAAATCGAACATAAGTGTTTGCTGCCCGACAAAGGGTGATTCGGCGGATAAGACGTGACTGTTTTACTCTGACCGCTGGGCGATGTGCTCAGGAGGTTGCTGTGACAACCAGCATTGAAGGGTCTTTACATGCAAAGCAGAGAACGATTATCTATAAATCTACATCACTACGATTGTAACGTGCACATCTCACGGACGGTTCCGGAATAAAATTATTATAGACCGTAACACATGAATTTCAAAATGTCGAAAAAATATTTATATACCGCATAGTAAACCGAATTGACCAGAATAATGTAAAATCACAAAATATAATTAGAAATCTAAAAAAAAAAAGATTTTCTTTATTGAAATCGAAAGATACCATCGCTAAAAACCAAAAAACAAAAACATGTTCATCAAAATAAAATCTCTTTGCTGTCGATTTTCTTTTTATTTATATTTAGTATTCAACGAAAGACCATAATGTAATAAAAAAGACCGGATACACGTACCCTGGACTGTTAGGACCTGATGGACTGAAATTTCCCGGATTGATAAGCGCCGTATCTGGTTTCATATCGAGGGGACTTTGTGGGCCTACCGATGACATTGACATATTGCTGTTTTCTAGACTCAGCCCTGAAACAGAAAGAAGAATCAAATTTATTTTATATAATTTCATATTTAATAATATTGCAATACTCACATGATTTTGAGTGGGATAAAGTAGAAATTTTAGATTTTGAGAAATCATATAACAAAAGGTTGGTATCAGAAATGCTACATATAAAAAGTCAAGTCAGCGGACTTAATTTGCAGTGCGACACGGAAAATTTAGATAATTCCT